GTAGGGAAAATGTAAAACGGCTATAACTTTTGCATACGATGTCAGAAAAAAAATGTATAATATATCAAAATGTTCAGCACAAAAATCCGCATCCGATTTTGACTACCTACGGCCTGTTTGCAATTTTTTAGAATTCTCAAATTCTAAAAGAAAAAAATGTTATGCTCAAATTTCAGTTTTTTTAATTTTCGTTAAATCTAGTCAAACTACTTATTCATGAAGTATTAGTATTACTAAATCATTATTCAAGAATATTAGTGTTAATAAATAATTATTTTAGTTTTTTTGAATTTTGATCAAATCTGGTTAAATTGTAGTCAAACAATGGTCAAACTACTTATTCAAAAAATATTAATGTTACTAAATAATTATTGTTTTCTATAACGATAGTTTCAAAATCAAACAGTGAAATGTGTGACTTCATGCTCAAGCTAAACTCCTGAGGGTTAATAGGACTAACATCTTAGAGCATCTCCAACAGGCGCGCTAAACAAGCGCCGCGCCGCAAATTTAGCCAGTTTAGCGCGCGCGCAACCCGGCGGGTGGCTCCAGCGGGCGCGCAATAACCACGCGCGCGGTATAAGGAGTTGGGCGCGCGGTCGGATTCGCTATCTCGCGCGGTGTATTTGGGGCGCCCGCTTTCGCGCGGGGCACACTCGAGCGCTCGCGCTACACTCTCTCCTCTCCGCCTCCTACGCCCCGTGCGCGCCGGCGCCGGCGAACTGCACCCCATGGACGCACGCGCCGGCACCCCGCTCACCCCATCCTATAGCTGCGACCCCTCCACCGCCGCCGCCGCCGCAAACCCTAGCCCGGGTGGTGTTGGCCTCGCCTCCGCCGGAGCTCCTCCGACCATCGGCCTCGCGCGCGACCTCTTCATGCCGTCGCAAATGACCTTGGCGGCGGAGCTTCACGTGATGCGGTGCGCGATGAGGAGAGGGAGGAAGATTCATCTTCGGAGGCGGAAGAATCGTCTTCCGAAGATGCGGACGAGGACGAGAAATGATGTGTCTTTCATTTGTGTATTGAACTTGATTTGCATTTTGAACTTGGTTGGATGAACTTGTGGGCATGATTTTGAACTTGTGGGCATGAACTTTTCTTCATCAACTTGTTTGTGTGAAATTTTATATGTCATGTTCATTGCATTTTGAATGTTTCAACTTCATTTTGTGTTCAAAATGCCATATATGCAATGCCCCGGCGAGTCGCGTGCGCTGCATTTTTTGTGCGCTGCTGGAGCGGCACGCACGCTGCATTTTAGCGCGGCTACTAGAGCCAGCGCTGCGGGCCGCGCCAAACAAGGCGATGGGCGCACGGCAAAGCAGTTTTTTGCGCGCGGCGCGTTCGGCGCCTGTTGGAGATGCTCTTACTATTGTCAGGAAAACAACAAGTGCAGACTTGGGAAAGAGGGAGAATAGAATCCGAAAGTTAAGCGTGCTCAGACTGGTGTAGTGAGAGGATGGGTGACCGTCCGGAAAGTTAGATGATTTGGAATAATGAGGGGTGATTAGAGATTAGAGATTAAATTGAGCAATGATGTGTGGTGTGGTGATTAGAGGTTAAAATAATTAAGAAATTTGAAAATTCGGAAAAAAATTTCAAAAAAAATCATAAGATATCAACCGGTACTGAAGGTGGACCTCCATGCAGCGGCCACATGAAGGGCCTTTAGTCCCAGTTCCAGAATCGAGATTAAAGGCCCTTATGAATCGGGACAAATGGACTTTTTTCTACTAATATACTATGCTAGATATGACTTTGATTTCATCCAGTAATGGAGCCAGGGAGAGCCTCCCTGTTATTTAAAAAAGAAGGTATTATACTTGATCGTGAAGACACAAACCGATCGAGTAGATAAAAGAAGAGCTCGCATTGACTTGATCACCTAAACTACTTCGCCTTGATCTACTATGAAGATCTGCGATGCTACTAGATGAGATCCATCTATAGTTCTGTACATGCATCTCGATCTGCACACGTACTTCCACTCAACGCGAGTCAGTACATAGTATTACTGGCTTGGATGCGCAGCTCCGCATGATCTACCGGTTATGCATGAGTGACTATGATAATAATATTTGTACAAAAGCACATACACTTACCGCTATGAACGCACGTAAGTACACCCTGACCTTATGAACAACTTCGAAATAATGAGCCGGCACGCATAGTTTTCAAAGAAAACAATGCTAAAATTTATACGCCTATTATTCCATGATGATTTTTGGCCAAGCTCTCGATCACTACATAGATAATTAACTCTAGTAGTTAATTGACATTATAAAACAATCCAGCACATTGTGTAGCTTTGTTCTTGTTGACTGGTCTTGCATGCATGCACGTAGGCATGTAGCCATGTAGGGGGATTCGTGGAAGCAACCTCTACAACTTTTTTAAGGAAGCAACCTCTACGTGAGGCATGAGCATATATTCTGGGAACCCGACCGGCGACGGAGCGATGGACCAAATGCAGAGACGAGTCTCGGTCCGACAATTGGTTCCACACCAAACCCGGGTCCACAAATGACTTGGAATTTCTACCGCTTTTCTTCGCAAAGTTTACCGTGTGGGCTCCTGGCGTGCACTACGGCACTTTGCATGCATATATAGTGGAGTATGTAGCGGCCGGGCAGCTAGGTGCTTGGCTCGCGTCGGTCAAGGTCAAGAGCCGGATAAAGAATAAGACGGCCACGCTATCCGTCGATGGAGACCGATCTTTCGGCCGGCACCACACCAGACGCAGGCTCAACTTTTTGACTGCACTGCACTGAACTGCCGTACGTCCAGTGCATTCTCCGCGTACGCGCCGCGTATCACGCACCACGGTGCGCGTAGATAGATTCCTCCTCCCGAAGGAATGAACCGCATGCATGCAGCTTCGTAGGAGCTCGAGTGATGTGCTTACAAAGTATGCAGAAGTTCATTCATACCTTCGAAAAAGGAATCAAGTAGTGAGTGTAACCATCACAGTTAGTTAGGTACATACGGTTGTGATCCTGTGTTCATGCAGTCGATCCGTCCTGGCGGCAAAGATATGTGTCCACCAAGCAAAGAATCCGTGGTACAAGGTGGGGAAATATTATAATGCTAGGAGATAGTCTGGCACAATCGAGTATATAATCCTGGCATAATGCCGAGCAATCACGGAGGCAAAGCTCACATACGCCGGGGCAATTGTACGATTGACGAGAGCTTCCAGACAACAATTCTATCAAAAGAAATAAATGTGTATTATCATAGTTTTATTTTTCAAACGTGTTACGCGTTTGAGGACGAGCATGGGCCCATACATGCACCATTTTAATCTGTCGTCGTCCTAGTATTACTATTATTTTATGTCAAATTCATACAGGTATATACTCCCTCTGTTTCTAAATATAAGATGTTTCAGAGATTTCAATGCGGAATATATACGAATGCATATAGCCATATTTTAAAGTATGGATTTACTTATTTTGCTTCCTATGTACTCAAATCACTAAAATGACTTATATTTAGGAACTGAGGGAGAGTAGGGCGTTTTGGTGACCGAGCTCCATGGAGCCCTTTATTTTTGAAACATTCAAAATTCAAACGTTTTGACTTCAAAAAATTCTGAAAATAAATATGCAACTATACACGGATGAAATGTATGTGTGTGTAAAAATTCAAGATGAAATACTTTGAAATGCGACCTATACAAAAACGACAAATTTCGGGACTTTGAGAATAAATAGTAACATATGTGTTAAAAAGCCTCAGATTTGTCTTTTTTGCCCAGCCTTCATTTCAACGTATTTCGTTCTAAAAATTTACACACATGTGTGTTATGCCTCCATGTATATTTATAATTTTTTTCAGATTTTTTTGAATTGTAAAAATATGAATTTCCATGAATTTTGTGTTTTTAAAAAACCGGCCTCCATGGAGGCCGAGCTCCAAAAGGCATTTTCGAACTGAGGGAGCACTATTATTACGAGCAATGCTACACCTACGTAGCAATCATACGCAAACTAACCTAATAGCTTAGGTGGCTTTTTTCTGTTAGAGGAGATTAGGGGAAGGGACCCATCCAGCTGAAATCAGGGGGCAGAGGGATTAATAGTTAGTTAAGTTACGTAACAACACGTAGGATATTACGTAAGTGTAGCATTTTTGCTATTATTACTACCCACCAACACATGCATGAGACATGCTCGGTTGAGCTCTCCATCACAATTCATACAATATGTCCAAGTCGAGGCCGTGTGCATGCATGCACAAGAATTTCGTCCCCTTCGATCCATCGACCGCCGGGGACGTGACGAAGACACGGGCAAGAGGCGTGGAGGAATCCGGCGCGACCGCTGGCTGCAGAGAGTCGACTGCTGGTAGCAATGGCCTTTTTGGAGGTGCGGTGCGGCCTGTGCGGTGATACGTGGAACCTTCCTGTGTTCTCCTCCACGTGCGTGCCTCATCCCACCCCGTGCCAGCGTCGCTGACCTGACCGCCCCGCCCGCCGGCGCGCCACTAGCACCGGTCGGTCGGTTGGTCGATCCATCAGCTGGCTAGCCGCGCGTGCGTCCTCCACTCGGGCCATATGTCTATAAATAAGCTGGCCACGCCCACGATGCGATGCATATACATTCACTCGCCATTCACCACCATCTCGCACGCGTCTTGGGAGCTTTGCTGGCTTCGGCGGTGGAGACGAAGAAAGAGAGAGTTGTTGCCATGGCGACAACCGAGGTCAGCATCCAGATGGCGGGGGTACTGGACGGCCAGCCGGGGTGTGCTCCGTCCCCCGAACCGCTTCTCCTGCGTGTCCCGTCGCAGGCCGCCGGCGTTTCTTCGATGGAGGCTGCGGATGCCGTCGTTTCCGGCGGCAGGACCACCAAGAAAGCGGCCGCGGCTGCTTACGCTGAGACGCCGAGCTCTGTCTCGTTCAGCGTGCCGGGTTCCCCGTCGGGACTCCACCTCGCGCAGATCGGCATGCCGCCGTCCGTCCGCGACAACGTGGTCGCCCCTGCGGTGCCGCTGAGCGAGTCGAAGGTCGAGCGGGTTCACCACCCGGCCGTGCCACCGAGCGAGTCGATGGTCGAGCGGGTTCACCACCCGGCAGTGCCGCAGCTGCTGAAGCAGGCCCGGCACCACTCGCAGCCGTCCTTGGTTGTTAGAGTCGGCGGCGAGGTGCCGGCGGTGCTGCGGAGCGACAGCATGCGGGAGCGAGACCGGCGGTTTGACCAATTCAAGACGTTCTCTGGCCGCCTTGAACGACAGCTCTCCAGCCTCCGTGGGGTGCCACAGAACACCGACGTGGAAAAAGGTGCGGCATCAAAGATCTCAGAGGAGGACACCGACGAGGACGATGAAGTGCCCACCGCCGACCGCTACTTCGCCGCGCTCGAAGGACCCGAGCTCGAGACACTTCGGGTACGTACCACGTCACCGCGTAGCATTCCAGCAAAAAGTTTACCACTCCTTAATAAAACTTCTTTGTGTCTAATAACCTTGTGAACTTGCAGTCGACAGAGGTGGCCGTGTTGCCTAAGGACGAGACATGGCCGTTCCTGCTCCGATTCCCCATCAGCGCCTTTGGGATGTGCCTTGGCGTGAGCAGCCAGGCCATGCTCTGGAAGACCCTTGAGTCGGAGCCCTCCACCAAGTTTCTTCACGTGCACCCTGCTACCAACCACGTCCTCTGGTGGATCTCCGTCGCCCTCATGGTCGTCGTCTCCATCACCTACCTTCTAAAAGTCGTTTTCTACTTCGAGGCCGTCCGCCGCGAGTTCCACCACCCCGTGCGCGTCAACTTCTTCTTTGCGCCATGGATTGCCTGCCTTTTTCTTGTCAAGGGTGTGCCGCATCCGGTGTGGGAGATCCACCACGCCGTCTGGTACTTGCTCATGGCGCCCATCCTGTGCCTCGACCTCAAGATCTATGGCCAGTGGATGTCTAGTGGTGAGCGGCGCCTCTCTAAGGTAGCCAACCCATCCAATCACCTCGCGATCGTCGGCAACTTTGTCGGCGCGCTTCTCGGTGCTAGGATGGGCCTGCGGGAGCTGCCCATCTTCTTCTTTGCCGTCGGGTTGGCCCACTATGTCGTGCTATTCGTCACTCTCTATCAGCGGCTCCCCACCAACGCGCAACTCCCCAAGGAGCTCCACCCAGTGTTCTTCCTTTTCGTCGCCGCACCTAGCGTTGCTTCCATGGCATGGACGAGGATCTGTGGAGAGTTCAACGATGGTTCCAAGCTCCTTTACTTCGTCTCGCTATTCCTCTACGTGTCTCTGGTGGTGCGCATCAACCTCTTTAGGGGCTTCAAGTTCTCACTGGCATGGTGGGCGTACACATTCCCGATGACGAGTGTGGCCTTGGCGACGGTGTTATATGCATCTGAGGTAGACAACGTGCTGACACGGGCACTAGCGGTCGGGTTGTCAGGGATTGCCGTTGTCACGGTCACCGGCGTGCTAGCCACCACCATGTACCACGCCTTCGTGCGGAAGGACCTCTTCCCCAACGATGTATCCATAGCCATCACGCGACGAAGGCCCAAGTTTAGCAAGATCCTCGCGCACCTTCGGTCGTCGAGCTCTGATGTCAAGGAGCTTGTTCTCTCCATCCCAAATTTCAGTTCCAATTCCAAGCAGGGCGCATGCTGCGATGACGCCGGCTCCAGCTACAAGACGAGCGGCAGTGTCGGCGAGTCTCCTGTGGCACACGAGCACGGAAGAGCAAAGTGTTAGGAGGTCCATGCACGACATGGTGCATGTACGCACGGCTAGCTTATGTTGATTAGTAGTACTTGTACAGAGTTCTCTGCGTTTTTTCTTCATTCTTTTTCTTCTTTGTGAACTTGCTGCACATAGTTGAAGATTAGGAGTGGTATCCGTGAGCAATTTACATTGCGATGATAGTGATATAATTGTCGGGCTTAACGGTTGAGTTTGTAAATTTAGTGGTTATACTTTTTTCTTCAGAAGTAGAAAAATCTCAGTTACATTTCTTAACTCTATTCTCGTCTCAAGTAACTACACAGACCTGAAAATTGGAAGGACATTTCACCAAAGGTGTATCAATAAAATGGATGGGTTAGTGTGTTGCAACTTGCAACTTTGGAAGGGAGGTTTCCAAAGTTTGAAGACAGCGCACTATTTGCAAAATCATTTTTTATGTGTGACCGTGACATGCTCTCCACATATCGCTCAAAACCAAGGTTACCGCTGACGGCGCTCTCTCAGACTTAGCTTTGCTTACATTTTATTTTAATTAAAACATAACTTTACTTACATCTCCTTTCAATTAAACATATCTTTGCTTAGATTTTTCTTTGAGGGGTGAAACCAAACTTTATTACTCAAAGTCTACATAAACTGGGATACAGAAGGGATCATGGGGTTCGGAGAACCAAACGTGCCGCCCTTGATCCAAGGAATGTGAGAACTTGCTAACCTATCAGTATAGGTGTTCGTTGCTCCGTAACTTCATCATAGCCTCCGATTCGAAGCAGGAGGAAACGACGTACACAATGAGAGTCGAGGTTTTTCTTTCAATTAAAACATAGCTTTGCTTACAAGCAAAGAGCCCTAATTCCATCTCCTCATTTGGGCTTTAGGCTCACCGGATAGTAGGCTTTTGGTGGGCCGTGTCTATTAGTTCTGACTACCATACAGTTACTATCTGGACCGTATGGCTCGGATCTAACTCTACAAAATTTTCTCTAGAAAAAGAATCTACAAATTCTTTCTTGTTGCAGACTGCCTCATACGTTCTAACTTAATTATGTATATATAGTCCTTTACAAATATT